CAAATTCGCTTCTGGAGATTATTAGTGGCTCTGCAAGAGTGTGATGAACAACAGCAAATACTCAATACCTCCTCTATTCAATCAATTCAAAGTCCTGACATCTACAGCAGATAAGGTTGAACACTTTGTTCAGAAATTCTCTTCCAATTCAACACTCAACTCATTGGAGTACCCACACCTGATTTCTCCATTAGAACTGAGGCTCTACTGAGTGATACATGCATAATCTCCTCACTGGTTTTGGACACCATTTCTTAATAGACTCCCATAAGGCAAATAGAGGCGATGGGATACCAGTCATCGTCCTAAAGAAATGTTCTCCTGAGCTGGCTCCAGTTCTTGCCAAACTACAACTATTGCCTCACTGCTTCGTGCCTTCCAGCTTGTTGGAAGTCCTTCTCTATAGTCCCAGTTTTTAAGAACTCTGGAGAACCGTCTAATCCTCTATTGCCCTATTAGTCTCCAACTGCTTTTTGGCAAGATATTTAAAATTTTAATCAATGCTGAAGTAGTTAAGTACCTTACCTTTCACGACCTACTCTTTGACAAACAATATGGATTTTGGTTTGCCCTGTCTACTGCTGACGTGATTACTGCATATATATATCAAGCTCTTGATAATAATGGCTAAGCTCAAGCTGTAGCTCTAGATATCTCAAAGGCATTTGACAGGGTTTGGCATGCTTGTTTTTTATGTAAGCTTCAGGGCTATAGTATTACAAGATGATTGTTTGATTTAATCTAATGATTTATGAAATGAAGTACATTCTGAATGGGCTTGCTTCCAGATTCTTTCACATGAGTGTGGGTGTCTCCCAAGGCTCTATCCTGGGTCCTACACTGTTTCTGACCTTCATTAATGACCTTCCTGATGTCATTAGTTCACAAGTAGGCATTTATGCAGATGACACTACCATTTACTCCTGTCTCAATAGCAAAAGAAAGTTGCAAGGAAAGTTGATTCATTGTGTCATGCCAGGTTTTTCTTGTTAGAATGCATCCTGCACATTTATAAATTTACAAATCTTTTATTCATCTGTACATTGAATACTGTTGCCATATCTGGTCTAGTGCCTCTACTTTTTATTTCAAAGTTCTTGACAAAATCCAAAGAAGGATCTGCAATGTAATCGATCCTGACATAGCATCTTGACTTCAGTTACTTTCTCTTGTATATATTCTTCACACTTGATCAATACATGTTGTTTAAATTTTAATCCTTGTTTATTCTTTCCCTTACAACTATACACTTGTTATAATGCCATAAAATTCAGAAGGTCACCATGACCATATTTAAATGTCTGTATCCATTAAATTGCTTCCACGTCATTAGCTGATTAGAAATTTGTATAAAAGTGTATTTGTTCAGGGGTACTTAATATAGTGGTCATTGAGCATATATAAATCAAATTTGCAAATAGTGAGAATTAGAGTGAATTTAGCATAAAGCATGATTTATTCCTTTTTTTTTTTTAAATTACATGATGTTTTTTTTTTTTTGAGTTAGGAGGACTGCCAAGAAGAAAGTTGCAAAATAGGAATTTGAATGACGGTGGAAGGTGAAATATGAAATTAAATTGACAATATCAGCATTTTTTCATTAAAAACAAGAAGAACCGTTAATACTTTATGAACTTGTATGCAGTGTTAACAGTTCAGTGCACCTTTTCCTAATAAGTATTTAATTTCATTTGTCAGAAATATTTATTTCAGCCACATATCAGCTTAGTGGGAAACATTTGCACATTTTTTTTATAATTATTTTTAAACTTAAAAATTTAAAATGTGTTCTAGCAAAACTTATAAGGATTTAACATAAAATTTTGGACATGAACATTTTGTGTATAATCACAACAAAAATTTATTTTTAAAATTCATACTTTTAATTTGTTTCTAATAAATATGAAAATATTTTTTGTGACTCTTTGGAGTTTCCTAAAAACTACTTCTGTTTTAAAATATTGTTACTGTAACAATTTAAAATCTTGTTGATTCATATAGCACAGTATTTGTTTCTGTTGTTTCATTAATGCAGTGATTCTCAACTGCTGTGCTGTGGCTCACTAGTGTATTACAAAATATTTTCATGGCATATAAAAAACACCAGGCACAGTTTCCACACTAAATAAGCTGCACAAATAGTTGAAGAGAAACATTAAAATAACGTAAGTCCATATTTGTGTGTTTATTTTTTTAAATCTATGGTTTTTATTTCATAACATTTAAAGGTATACTATTCAAGAGGGATTATTCTGAAAGTGTATATGTTGTTGGTTTGTTTCATAACTCAAAAATTGTTGAAGTGCTATATTGGACTTTTTCTCTTTTGTGGTATTTTAGAGGACAATGGAAATAAGATGTTTGTGCCCATCTTCTCACCAAGTATCATAAAACAGTTACAAGTTACCAGCAGCAGAAAAGAGACACTCATCAAACTATTATGGCATGTCAGTGTCAAGACCTTAGTTAAAATATCTGGTGATGAAAGAGAGCATAGGAATAAGTGGAGTCATGTGTTTCCCAAGTCATTAGCATCAAGTGAGTACAAGCAGTCTCAGTTTAAATTCTATTTTAAGGTTGGTTTTAAATTAAATAACTGGAGTCATAGAAGAACTGGCTTTTATGTCTTTTGCAAAACAGCAGATAATCAATCCACTTATAGTTTTATTAAAGAGGTTAATTTAATGTCTAAAATTTATCACTAGTTATTATTTATATCAGCCAGCATGAAGTTACCATGCAAACCCAGTACCACAAAAAAACAAACAAAAAAAAAAGGTAAGGGAGATAAATCCGGTGTTAAAATGGGTGTAGGGGGTAAATCAGATGTTAAAAATTGGATATAGGAGGATAAATCAGATGTTAAAAGTGGGTGTAGGGAGGATAAATCAGATGTTAAATGTGCGTGTCTGTGTGTGGTGGTGATGTGGGGGGGGGTAAATCAGATGTTTTAAAGGTTCTTGATTTTATATTTTTACCAGATTCTCTTACAAAATAAATAATTATTTTCAGATCTATTATCCTATTGTAAATATTTTGTTTTATTTGAAATGTCGATTTTTTTTCCTTTTCACTTGTACTTATTTTCTCTATAGAGTTTTTTTCACAAAGAGAATATGCAAAAATTTTAAAAGCTAATGTTAAAGAAAACAAAGAAAAAAAAGAAAACACAAACAGAAAATTGAGCTTTTATGATATATTTTGGCAGTAATGATTTTAGACAAATAATACATTTCTATAAATATTTTCATGGTAATCTGCAATTTTATCAACACTGAGCTGCCATCTAGGCATCTAGGCTACTTTTCCACTGTTGTAACATATCTTACCTGTGCTTTTTCTATAGATGTTTTTATTGTAATTGTGCTAATGAGCTTTCCTCTTTGGAACCTCGACTTTACAAATTTAAGCACAGTACTAGATTTGCAACTAGGTCTCATCATTTTACAGTTGAAATTACTAGATGTAACCATAAGTTCTATGCTAATAGTTTCTTCTGCTGCACTTTTTACTTCTGGAACTTTCCAGCTTCTTGCTTTCCAGTCAACTTTCATGTTCAAAAATTTAAATTCAATGTTAATTGTTATCTTCTGTCTTCTTATTTATTTTCTTTTATTGTTCTCATTTTAATAGTTTTTTTTTCTTTTTCTCATATTCTTTCATTTTTAGTACCCATCTTGTATCTTAGTGACTTTACTGCCTTGCTTGGGGTGAAATGATACATACACACACGCACACATGTATATATATATACACACACACACACACACATGTGTATATATATATATATATATATATATATATATATATATATATATATATAAAAATTTCAGATAGAGTATATCTGTAAAATGACAATATAAATAAAGACAAAAGGAAAACTTCTTTTTAGCCGACGTGTTTCATCCACTAAGGGACTTTATAAAAATTTTTTGTATAGGAATGCTTATGAATATCCACGAGGTTAGCAGAAAAGTCAGGCAATTTCTTGGATGTGAGGTGATTCAATTCAATGCTGTTATAGACAAGCGTATAGTTGCAAGAAAGAAATACGACAACAGCAGAAATAGATTTACGTGATTTATTTCAATACATGTGGTTTTGGGACAGCTACCTTGTGGTATAGTTCATAAGCCGGCTGCCGACCTGGGTTGATCTCTCATAGTAGTTCTCGCTGGTTGGCGTGGCGCTCCTCCTGCTGACAGATCTCTTCCCTGGCTTCCTGTTGACTGCTGTTGTACTTCCCCGTGTGACCCCTTTTATGGCGTTTTTTATGGCTTAACAGGCTCGTAAAACGACGCGAGTATAATTAGGAGGGAAGCATTTTTATTGGTCAAAAAATAGAAACACTTTAAAATATTATTTTATTTTCCGACCGGAACTCGTGCATCAGGCTTATGCATAAATGACGATAATGGTCACTTTGTGACGGGTCCTTGTCCCGTTCACATCCGGCTCTCACTCTTAAGTATGTTAGTTTATTTGCCTGCAAATCAGCCGAGATATGTCTTATTTTATTTTATAACAATGCTTTAATAAACAAAAGTGAGTAAGAGATTACATATATATTTATAAATTAGTATTGAAATAATTTTGACAAACCAATAACATTTTTGCTCTTGTATATAAATTCTTAAATTTGCCTTGATAAAGTTTCTCAGAGGACAAAATGCATCGGCTAAGATGTTTTTTGTCTTGATTCACTCATCATCAAAGACAAAAAGCAATCCTTAACATCAACTACAAACACAGCCATAATGTACTGACTGTGTTTGGAATTAAAATATGCCTACATTTTATCAACCTACACACCATTTACAATAGCACAACCAAAATCCCTAAAAATGGCTAATAGATTATTTGAAAACACTTAGAATGAACAATCTTTTGGAGAATTTCTGAACACATTCAGTCCCCCCCAAAAAATCTCTTGTTCCCACACAAGAAAAAAACAATGAAAAAAATTAACTGAAATACCTTAATTTTTAATGGCTTAACAACCACATCATGTTGAATCACCAGTTCCTGTATGATCACCGAAGTTAAACAATGTCAAGCCTGGTCAGTACCTAGATGAGTGACCGCTTAGGAATATCAGGTGCTGTAAGTTTGGATGTGTAATGGATAATGGCTTGGAATTTTTGAGAGCCAAGTTCCAATTTTGATTGGGTTTGTTATATTCATTTACACTCAAATATCCTTGGGAAAGGTATCAACCACTTCTTCTCCCCACAGCTATGGGTTAATTAGTAAGACTTGTATCACTAAATCTCTATTATCTCCCCCAAAAAATCTTACAATCTAAAAATATTTTCTGGCTTTAAACCTGCAAAGTGTTGAAAAGCTGTAGAAAAAAAATCAATCCATTCTTTTCTAATGAAACATGTATAAGAGAGGTGTATATATATATATATATATATATATAAACAATATATAATTTTGTATAATTTCATATATCAACAAACAGTATTTAGAAAAATAGTATAACAAATTAGAAAAAAGTTTTTGTGATGTATTTCAGTTCAATGAAATTCTAACAGAGGAAATGTATCACAAAAAACTTTTTTACACTTTGTCATACTATTTATATATATATATATATATATATATATATACATACATATATATATATATATATATATATATATATATATATATATATATATATATATATGCAATGAAAAGCAGAAATATTGTAAAATACAAGATTCTAGGCATCAATATTTGAGATAATGCAGTTCTGTCTCAGGTTCTCATTACCTAGAACAAAGATACCACATTTCCAACAAAGGCTCATTTACTCATCAGTCAGTTTATAATCTTTTGATTGAATACAAAACAATCTAGTGATAAATGATTGTTAATAATTAAAATTACTATTATTATCATAGAATCCTAGTGAACTAACTCATCTTGTCTTGCAAACCATTTGTTTTATACTTTGTAGTAAGTTTATCTCTCACTCACTGAGTATTCTATGTGGACTTGTAGCAAATTAATCAGTCTATTTCTAAAATAATTTGAAGTTAGATTTATTATCAAGTAAGAATCGTTTTAGCACAAAAGAAAAAGACAAATTTAAACAGCGACAAGAAAACTTTTTCTACTGCTGAAATTTAAAATACAACCACCTTGCAGTCTTAGCAGTAGCGACATGAAGTCTGTGACTCATATGCTATCAACAGCGATAATTGCTACCATCACCACTTTCTGAGTTGTCTGCGTGTCTTTCTTTTGTTGTGGATACATTGGTAAGTAAAGAAAGCCAGTATTTGTACTAATTCACTAACTTTTACAGGACGTTTGCATAGAAGTTTGCCACTAAGTATTGTCCACCGTCAGTGTGTTAGTTAAAATATACAGTGCACGATTTGTTTTCGATATTTCTTTTTACTTTGTTTTGTACACATGGCTTTTAGTCGCTTGCTAATTCTGTTTGAGAAAAGTGAATTCTCGTGCGATCCTAAAAACTAACAATGTTACAATATAGACTATTCTTTCGGTATTTATTTCGGCACTTCTACTAAAATCTAAAAAAAAAAAACATGCGATACCCAAGGAAGGAAATATGTTTTTGATTTGAAATTAAGTAAAAAAACAGTGACTACAGTCTACACATTGTTGTTTTTTTTTTTTAAGATGATCTGTCCTAAAAAACAATTGCTATTTCGATGAAAACTTGTATTTACTTTAATCTCTCAGAGAAAACATTTATTTTTTAAATAATTATATAACTTTCCGCGAAAAAAGAGAAGTGTTAATTTTCTTATGTATTTCATTGCTTTAAAGTTTAAAGTAGAAAACAATAAAAAATATGATAGAGAAATCATAATGAATGATGACTGGTGTACAGTACTTTTTCAAGACGTCAGCACTTTTAGTTTTAGGGGAAATAAATGAGATTTATTTAAGCAGGGCTCAAGTCGGGTATATAGCAATGATCGAAGAAGGACAATAATAATAATAAACATTGTTTTTATTGTTTCCTGATACCAAAACCAAATGATTAATAAAGAAAAGATGTTTTGTGCTAAATTTTTAATGTTACATTTTAGCATTTTCGTTAAAAAAAATTACAGTAAAAAAAATCTTAAAAGTCTTTCAAAATGTGGTAGAATTTCTTAGGAATATGAGAAAAATTTCTTTAATAATTAAAGAAATTTTCTCATACTCCTAAGAAGAATAAAATAAAAAAAACGTTTATAATTATAATTTTACTTTTTTAGACGTGCATTTTTAAAAGTACACGACGTTAAAGAGTTATAATTTAAAAAACAAAAATAAAAACTTACGTAGAAAAGTTGTTAATTCAATTAATTCATTAACAAACTTCACATTTTGAAGAGAAAATTATTTTTTTCAGAATTGAAATTTTGTTTAAAATAGTTTGTGGAAAAGATAAAATGATAAAAAAACAACCTTTTTCATAATTAAATTAAAAACTAAAATTGTTATACATATTTTTAAAAACTTGAAAAAATTTCCATGTTAAGAAAAGAACAAAATAAGTATCAGGCTTGGTTTTTAGTCTTCAAGCTTGCTTCACTCTCTTATTTTATTTTTAAATTTAAATAATGCCGATTTTTATCGGAATTCTCTGCTTTCTCCAAGACTGATACTTCGAATTCCTATTACCAACAACACTTTGAATTAGAAGAGTGTGTTGTTGTATGACATAATTCAAATTGTGTCATGTTTGCTTGTGTAACAGTGTGTGTACTGTACTGTACGCAACACATCACAAATGAACATTGTTTTGACTTTTGAGACTTGAAGAGTCAATTTTATTTTATTTGAATATTTTTATTAGAAAAAAATCCACTTAAAACTAAAACAGATTATTATGTCAGCCTCATTAATCTTTTAAAATTAAAAAAATAATTTTTGAAAAATTTTGTTTCTTCTATTTCATACATAATTTTTTTTAAAACCATTATGACATTATTGTTCAATGTTAACTTTCAGCTGAAAAATTATTTGTATATTTTTTATTTTAAAAAAGTTTTTTTAGGAGATCACTGTGAAATACTGAAGTAAAAATACTTAGTGTCCTATCGTTAATTCATTTAAATTTTATACTCAAATTTAAAATGATACTTCATTCATTCTCTACACTACACTTTATTTTGCTGCGATGTTACAAAAAAAAACCTGAATGATTCTTTCTTATTTACCTCCCTATGAAGACGTATCCGACACAAGGTCAGTTTTTCATGTTCTTTATTTTGCGCAAATGTGTATCATGCCAAAGAACAATTTAAGAAAGATTTTCTTAAAATTTACCTCGAAGATCTAGTAAGGAACCTTTTTCGATTTTGAAAGTTTTACACACTAAAACACAGATGAAAAAATGATATGGCGTCTTTTTTGTTTACTAAAACAACTACTAAAACATGAATAATAATAATAATAATAATAATATTTCACTGGATATCAAATTGTTTTCGCTTGTAACCTAATGCGTTCGATATACTATCGAATATTGTTAAACCAAAAGGCGAAGAAATGACAGCATTGTTTGCTATAAAGAACCATTTTCGCCGTAAAAATTTCTACGTTTGAAAAACTAAGGAAAAGTTATTCTTTAGTTTTTCAAACTATTTCAAATAAAAATACGGTAAAGACTGAAATAAAACTTTTTTTTTGTTTAAAATTCATAAAGGGGCTAGAATTATCATTTATTTCATTTATTGTACATATACATTTTTTAGTAAAGTATTTTTAAGCGTTTTGTTTGGGAATGCCATGTGATTGTGATACAGATGAGTTTTAGTTTCACTTTCGAAATAAATTATATGAATATTTTTTAAAAAGACTATTTTTCAAGAAAAAATCGAATATTGAATATTTTAAACAGTAGTTTATGAAATCAGGAAGTATTTTTTAGTGCTCTTATTTTTCTATTTTTAAATTCCTATGTTAACTAACTTAAAAAAAAAAATTTTACTTAGCGATGTAATTTCAGTTTTTTCAACGTTTTACTTTGTTGAAGTGAAATAATTTAACGGATAAAAAAAAAGCAAAAATGAAAATTAACTTTTATGTTTTCTGATAGTTTTCCCTCTTTCTTTGCTTTGGTCTATAAAGTTTTTACTTTTTATAACAGGTAATAAATTTAATAATATTAAATTTAAAAAATCCCACAATTTTAGACACAAACACGTAAAAATATTTTTATGATACAAAAAAACTGAATAAAATTTGTTTTCACTAAGCAGAAAAATTCTTTAATCGCTAAAAAAAGATAGAATAATTGATTTAAAAAATTATTTCATAGTTATTCATTTTTTTTATTTGCTACTCATAAATTTTTTTTACCTTGACTGCTGAAAGTTCATAAAAGAAATTACTGTTGTGTTAGTGTTACTGTTAAATAACTTAATTTAAATAACTGACATTTTCTTAGCTTTTTTAATTTCATTTTTCGAAGGAAACAAGTTACTTCGTTTCGTAAAAAAAAAATGTTAGTAAAAATTTAAAATTACTTAAACATTGTTAAAGTTTGAAAAGCAAACTGTCATCACTTAAGTTAGAAAAATTGTCTAGAATCGTAACCGAAAATACTTTTTTAAAAGCCTGTTGTACTGTTCATTTGTCAATTTATCAATAGAGTCGATATGAACATTTTTTCACTTAAGCTTTCGATTTTGTAAACAAAAGCGTGTGAAAAAAACTAAGTCTAGCTTTCAAGGGAAAACGAAAGGAAATAAATAGCATCTGAACTTGAATTGAATTTGAATAAAAAGTTTGTTTTTTTAATATATTTTTCAGTACATTTTTTATTTCAAGTGTATCCAAACCAGATTTTAAATACTTAAAAATAAATAAATAATAATAATCTATATCACTGCAGACGACATTGGCTCAAAACTCAAAAGCGATAAGTTCATCATTGACATTTTTAATCCTTTGTTCTGCTTCTTAGTGTTGTCATTCTCTTTTTTTTACTTTTTCTTCTTATGTTTATTTTTTTATTTCTGCGTCGGGGAAAGAAAACGTATTTTTGGAGAATATAAAAGTGCTTGAGATTGTTTAAAACCGCTAGTTTATAAATTTATCCTGGACTAAAAAAGGTATGTACTTTCAAACAGTTTTTATTTTTCGTCT